AGTTTCCCCACCCATATCGTATAAGGCAGTACGAGGCAGTGCTTATTTGATGGCGGCACTAACTCGCCATGTTACAGTATCTTCTTATTTGACTGCTTATTTGATTTATCCTTTATTCACAACTGACCTATATATCTAAAGATTATTCCACTATCTGCCACCTGAGAACCTGCCCAATAGTTGAGGTAAGTCCTGGGGATATTATTTCTAGTGGGCGAAGCTGGAGTTGCTAAAATTAATTTTTTTTTGTTAAAATGATCTGAGATAATGAGAAACTGCCAGAAGAGTGGAAGGAATCTATACTTATTCTGATTCACAAAAAGGGCCCGAGAACGGATTGTAAAAACTATCAAGATCTCATCATCATCATCATCGGAATCTCACTCTTTCCTGTATGTTAAGAAATATTCACATAAATCCTTACTAATCGAATCACTGAATACGCCGAAAAAATTATTGGAGATTATCAATGCAAATTTAGACAAAATCGTTCAACTATTGATCAAATATTTTCTTTATGGCAAATATTAAGAGAGAAAAATAGTGTACAACAGTATTGTTCATCAGCTGTATATCGATTTAATAAAATCTTATGATTTTATAGACTGCCAAAAGCTGTATAATTTACTTATCGAGCAGGGGATTCCAAAAAAAAAAAAAAAAGTAAATCTAATTAAGATTTGCATGACAGATACATTTAATAAAGTTAGAATCGGTAATTATTAATCCATAAAGTTTGGGGTTCAGGTTTAAAACAAGGTGGATTCCCTTTCACCTACCTTTTTTAATTTAGCATTAGAACATGTCATTAGGGAATCAATGCGCACCCAAAACGATTTGAATCTGGTTGGAAAATACCTGTGCTTGGTCATGCTGATAATTTGGTCCTGTTAAGCGAAGACACGGAAAATATAAAACTAAATATGTCAAAATTAATGAAAGCCGGTAAAGAATTGGAGCTAATATGGATAAGACAAAATAAATGATTAGTTATGAATATATTATGGGGACAATTTCAGTGATATCGATATTGAAGGAAATATGTTCGAACACGTGGAGAAGTTTAGATATCTAGGGTCTACGATAACTAGAAAAAATAAAGTTAATGTTAATGTAGAAATGCTTGTTATTTTTCTGTGTTGAAACTACTTAGTTCATGCCTTCTGTTCTGAAACTTAAAAATTAGAATTTATAAAACCATTATCGTACCTACGTTCTTTATGGATGAGAAACATGGCTGCATACATTATAGGATGATCGACACCTTTAAGTTTTTGAAAATAAAGTATTGTATAAAATATTCGGACTGACTAAGGACGAGTCAACTGGAGAATTTCAATAACCTTGTTTTCTAAAGGATGCTTAGGAGGTAATTCCAACAGTAAATACACAGAAAAGTGTGGGCACCATAATTAATATAGGAGAGATGCAGCCAATCATGCTCTGCCTTGAGAATGAAAATTTCATGGAAACATCAAGAGTTGATAATACCACCAAATAATTTGGATGTACATTCTTAGGATAACTAATATTAATGAGAAGGCAGTGATTAAACTTAATGGGTTATCTTTATAAATTAGTTAGCTCTTGCTGGTTCAAACTGGAGTAGACCAACTTGGCCACTCAGTATCTGTTTCTGAAGCCCCCTAGGTTTACACTATCCAGATTTTAAAAAATTTAATTACCCCCTACTCTGCCATTTCTGGAATATGTAGGAGAGAGGGGGTTGTTTTTTAGGTACATCCGAACCTATTCTAACCAGAATGAGAGATCAAGATTCATTCTGTGTGTCCACAATGAAATAAATGTAAACCCACACAGGCGAGATTTGTCACTAGACTCAAGACTGTTAAAGTTAGTGCTTCAATACGCTCGGCCGTCACGACCTTTACCCTCTCCAGACTTTGGATGTTACAAAGATATGTCCTGTATTAAAAGGTCCCAAATGGTAAAAATATCAACGGTAGTATCAGGACCATTATAGGGCTCTCTGCTAACCACTCTTGATTGTGGTGATTATGGTATCAAGGATTTGGACTGATCTGTTATCAGTGGTAGGTTCCTCTGCAGATTTAGTCCGTTTTCCAGTGACTGTCCAATGTTCTGGTTGTTCTGTTCAGATTCGTTTCTAGCATCCTTTAAAACTGCTTAATACAAATTTGTTTTGTAGTAAAAAAATATCAATTTTTGAACTTGATTTTTTTTTAAGATTTTTTTTCCCTTGTTGAAAAGCTGAATTACTACACTTCCAGCCCATATTAACAACTTTTAGGTGTTACACTTTTATAAGGAATAAATAAAGAAAAACTCTTCTAATATTTTTATTTTATATCTCCAGATCTAATTTGTTAGGAAAAGTCTAATTTGTACCATTTTATGTTGTTCGTGAGGCTCTAAATCCCTGTAAAGTTTTGTGAGGATAGGTCATAATATATATATATATATATATATATATATATATATACACATAGGTCATAACAGAGGCATGTTAAAGTTATCACTGTTAATGAAATTTTCTAGAAAAGAAAAAATCTAAGGCTCTAACCAATGAGAAAATTTTGAGTAAAAAAGTTTTATTTTTTTTTATTGCTATCTAAATTCAATATTCCTCCTTCAATTAAAAGTTCTTATAAGATTCAGCTTGGTTAATAAATTAATTATAGATATTAAACACAGTGAAATATTGAGGAAATTTTTTTTATTTTTATGTTGCTATGAAAATTCATATTTAAGGGTTTTTCGATAAGCAAAAAATTAATATTAACATTTTTTCTCCCTAATTCAATTTTTAATGGGATCTGATGTATTGTATGGTATATATAATGTGTTTATTAATATATATGCTCTGCTATCTAACGTCTACAATACATGCATTATTCTTGTTTTTGGATCTAATTGGGACAACATATCATTTGTGCATCTAATTTTAATTTAGAAACCAAAACTTATATATGGCATATACCTATAGTATGAATACAATATTCTTACAATTTTTACCAACCAAAAGTAGGATTAAGTATTTTTTTAAGGAGAAACTTAATTGATATTAATATTTCACAGCTTGAAAGACTCTTAAATATAAATTTTCATAGCAGACAAAAAATTAAAAAAAATGTCTCAAAAATTTCACCTCCTAGGCTAGAACATCTAACCAACTATTTTGATAACTTCAACTAAATTCCTCCTTTCCTCACAAAGCTATAAATAAATCTACAAAAAGCAGAACCACATTAATAGGGACAGCCGACAATAAAAAATGTCTTATTATAATTTAATGTTATATTTCATCTCATCATTGCCGTTTTGAGATTTTCTCCCATCAGAGCTATTTTTTCATTACAATTTAAATTATCTGTGAATAATATGTATCAATGGGCATGTATGGTCAATGATTATTTTGTGTTTAGGATTAAGAACTGCACTAGAATATATTGTCCATGCCTGTTGTTTTGAAAGGTGGAGGAAACATGACTTAACAGAGGATTTGAAAGTACGTTAGGTCTCTACAAAGAAGGCGTTGAATGGAAGGAAAAGGACTGATGGGTCTCCATGTAATGGAACTGCATTATGTTTTACGATTTTCTCTGATATCTCTGAGGATGGGAGAAACTCCCAAAACGTCCGCAGTGATGAGATGAAATATTACATTAAATTAATATGGATTTATTTATTTTTTTATTGCCAACCTATTAATAAAGAATATATATATATATATATATATATATATATATATATATATATATACAGGGTTTCCTGTAAGTGAAGGGAAATATTTAATATGTTGATATTACATCGAGATCTACAAAAAACTTCATATAAACAATTGCCCAATTTCCAGCAGAAAAGTAGGAAATTTAAGATTTTTTTTTTTTTTAAGCGAGTCATATTTTTTGTTGATTAGGGAACGATAACTTAAAAAATGCTTTATTTGAGTAACCAAAAATTGCTCTATAGTAAACTAGACAACATTTTCTTTAAACAAAAGTAAAGTCTGTCATTGCTAAAAGTATTTGAAGAGAACTATTGGACGGACAAATACAGCTAATAAGCTTTAAGTCTATATTAATTAAGTTGAAGTTTATTAGGAAAACTTTTGAGATTCACCTCAAGTTGTGTATAGAAATGATGTGATTTTCTATCCAGTGATCCAACAGTACCCGTGTTTTCTGCAAAAATGACTACAACTATCTCTTGCAAAGTTTTTATTTCTTGTTTTTATTTTTAAATTTTTTATATTTATAAATACGTGTTTTAGGCAATTTTGTTTATTACAATACATTCCATATCATGGAATAAATAAAAACTTGGCAACATTTAACTGTAGTTATTTTTGTAGAAAACTTTAAGCTGACGGGATAGGAAATCATATCTTTATATTTCTTTAAACAACTTGTGAATCTCAAAATTTTTCCTAATAATCCTCAACTTAATATGGACTATTATTAATTAATATGGACTTAAAGCTTATTATACGAGGAAGTTTCTCTACAAGTGGAGTATATGTAGTACAGTTAAAGGGTTATAATAAAAAAAAACACAAATAATTTATGCCTTTTTTTTAAACGGAACTTAGCTGTATTTGTCTGTCAAATAGTTTTCTTCAAATAGTTTTAACAATGACAGACTTTACTTTTGTTTAAAGCAAATTTTGTCTGGTTTACTATGAAGCAATTTTTGGTTACGTAAATAAAGTATTTTTTAAGTTATTGCTTCCTAATCAATAAAAACTGTGACTCGCTTAAAAAACACAAATATTAAATTTCTTAATTTTCTGCTGTAAATTGGGCCATTGTTCATATGAAATGAAATGTAGATCTTGATGTCTACTATCAACCTTTTAAATATTAACTTTTACTTATGGGATACCCTGCATATTATATTACTAATAATTAAGTCTGAAATAATCTCCTATTTACATGTTTTGATCCACACACTATTGTGTGGTAGAAGAGGAGGAGGAGATTAAATAAATAAAAACATGTTTGGTTTTTTGTTTCCAGGCCCATTTGGGGAACAAGATGATGAACAAGTTTTTGTTCAAAAAGTTGTTCCTGAGACATCTGAATTGTTTGTTCGTTTAGCTTCTAATGGGAAAAGGTTTGTAAAACATAATTATCAGAACTTAAGTTTTTTAAATCTGTAATTTTTCAATTTTAAACATGAACCCTTTACCATCAGTGTTCTTACTCAACTTTTTAGTTTGGGTATGTTATTGTTGTATTATTTTTAAAAAGAGGTATTTATGATTCTGTATGTTGAATTTATTTGATTATGTAAATGTTGGCAGGTTTAGATAAAATAATTAACACTGATTGTTCCATAAAAGAATTCTTTGGAAGTCTTAGGGTTGATAAATTGTATTGCAGTCCAGCCATTTGGTAGTTTGAACTGGCAAAAATTTCTGGAGGATTTTTCTCGACGGCTCTATATGGTTTTTTGGATGCTGAATCTGAAAATTTAATTATCGGATATGGATTCATTATAAAAAATGATAAAAAAGCATAAAATTTCGGAAGTTGTTTCAATTTTTTTAATATAACTCTGAAATGAAGCATCCTAGAAAAAAATCACTGGTAAAGAGGTACTATATAGAATATATAGTAAAGAAAAGTATTGCGATCGTGAAAATTTTCTATTCTCAGTTTTCACAGAAATATACGTAAGGTTTTTCTTAACTCGGTCAAAGGCCTTGCAGAGATCCAAGAAGCACACCGAGAGTTCTTTACCCCTCTTGACAATCTTCTCTGTGATTTGTCGCATGGTGAAAATTAAATCCTGTGTGCTTCTTTGACTCCTGAATCCATATTGCTCCTCTCCGATCTTGGTTTCTATGACTCTTCTAACTCTGGCCTCTAGGATTCTCGAGTATATTTTACTGGGAACACTAAGGAGCGAAATACCTCGATCATTGTTGAAGTCCGTATTGTCTTCCTTCTTATATACTGGCACTGTAACTGTGACTTCCCAGTCCTTCGGGATCGTCTTCTGTTTTCAGACAAGCTTCAAAAGATGGAGAAACATCGCCTGGCCTTTACTTTGCATATATCTCATCATTTCCAGAGTGATTATGACCATTCCTGCTAACTTGCCAAGTTTCATCTTGGAGATGGATTCCTATGATATCATGTGATCATTTCGTCAGCACCATCTTAAAATAACGCATGTGCAACGTTGGACAGGCTCTAATATTTGTCATTTTAACATGGTGCTGATGATATTTTATGAAAATAAATTGTTAATATTTAAATTATAAAAATGTTAAAGTAAAAAAAATATTTGAATTATATGAAGAAAGCTAGTCGACTGTTCTACATATCATGAGTGATAAATATTCAGGCCGCAGTCTTTTAAAAAAAAATTTTAATTTGTTATTTTTGCTAATGTTTCAACCCAAACATGTGGGTTATCTTCAGGGCATGGTTCGAGCACTAAATGCTTTCAAGTGATCTTGGACTTAAAGCACTGAACTTGAAAGCATTCAGTGCTCGAACTACGCCCTGAAGATCACCCATATGTCTGGGTTGAAATGTCGGCACAAATAAAAAAAAATTTTTAAGTCTGCGCGCCTATGGATAAAATGCATAATTTCCGAGTCATGTCCAAAAAAATTTAAAAAAGTCCTGAAATTTCGCTGTTTTTTTGCATATATCTCGAAACAATATAAAATCTCATTCTGGAACAATTTTAATTATTTCCCCATCCAACTACCATTTGACTGGACTAATTTGATGATTTTGACATTGTAGTGCGTTACAGCGGCCAAACAAAAAATGGAAGCAAGCTGGTTCTAATATTATTTTTCAGGAAATTTTATCAGCTTTCTTTTTGATACTGGTGATTTTTCTCCAGGATGCGTCATTTCAGAGTTATAAGCAAAAAAACTAAAAGAATTTCCAAAATTTTAGTTTTTTTGGCCTTTTTTATGGTGAAACCTAGCTGAAACCTAACAATCTAGTTGATAACTGGGTTTTCACATTCAGCATCCCAAAAACCCTATAGAGCCATCGAGAAAAATTCTTCAGACATTTTTTTCTGGATCGACCACTTTCTGTCACCAAATGACTGTGGACTGTTGGTTTTGTGATGATTTATATTTCTTACAGCACAGAAATGCTATGGTCAGGACCCTTCACAACTATAGGACCATCAGAAATAGAGAATTATTTTTACTATAGTTAAATACTATTAGTAATAATCGTGTAATGTATTCTTAAATTTTTTATATCATTTTTTATAATGGTACCTTTTTCATTATTTGTCTGTAAAATTTTCTAATTTTATGATTGATTAAATTATTCAGTTGATTTTGAATTAGAACTTTACAAACACTGTTAATCAATTTTATGTTGGTACATCATTATAAGGTAATATCTTGGAATTTATTTAATTATTTTTTTTTATATTTGGAAATAAATTGTTTTTGGTATTATAGGTTATGTTTGATAATCTATGTTTATTTTTTTTACAATTTAATGCATAGCTAATTTTTTTTCATATTTTCAATGTAATTTTTATTTTGCTCAAATGGTTATAATTAGTTATTTTATCTAACCTTAAATTTCCATTCCAGTTGTCAGTTATTGAAAAAACAAATTAATTGAATTAAGTGTGAAGATGGGATGTTGTAATCCTGAGACCCAACATAGTGTAATTGCACACAAGTAATAAAATGAAATGGTCATACCTAACCTTGGAATTGTCTGTTAAACTTATTTATGTAATAATGCCAATTTTCTGTCTAGAACTAGTTAAGAGTGTCAGCTCAAATTTAAGAAGAGCTCGTTTAGTAAAGCATTCTACTCACAAGACTATTTTGATCTTCTATTAATGAACTTATTCATGAATTTTATGTTGTTGTTTTTTTTTTGCCAGGTTTCAGACCTAAATATTGCTAACCATAAATAAGAGGACGTGATGGCCAAGCTCATTGGGGCATGAGTTCTAGAGTCCCTGGTTTTGAACATTATGTGTTTGATTCCCACCTGGGTCAGTTAGTATTTATTTCTCAGCAGCCCCAGGAAATAAATCTCACACTTCCACTCTGGTGAGTACTTGGCGAAAAACTCAAGATAGCCATCAGGGCGTGGCAAAAAGAACCACATTGCCCACTTGCCAGATTAGTTCCCCCACCAGTAATAGTACCAGTAACCATAGATAACTAACGTCCTTTTTATATGTGTAAAACATTATACAATAAATCAGTTTTAAACTTATAAAACGTTAATATTGAGATGGTATGACATTAAATGTTGAATTTTAAAGCATTTTATCATGTATCTTCTTGTCTAGAAGTAGTCCCATATATTTAATAAATATGATGACTTTAAACTACTGCAGTAATTTGAGCCATATAGGCTCAATTTGCTAAAGTTTTCATAAATAAAGATTAATGCTTAATAGGTTTAATTAGTGTCATTAATGTAGATATTTAATTCATTAAAAAATATATTAATGTATTATTTGTTAACCAAGTCTCATTTTTTTTTTCTTCTATTGTTACAGAGTTTGTGTGATTCGTGCTGTTGATAGTACAACGATTACATCATTTTGTGTCCATGAATGTGAAGGATCGAGTAGAATGGGGTCTCGTCCACGTAGATTTATACTTACTGGCCATAGTAATGGCACTCTTCAAATGTGGGATCTTACTACAGCTTTAGATCTTTCAAAAAAAGGAGAATCTGGTAGGTTCCTGTATTTATTCAGATTATGCTACATATTAATAAAAAATATCTGGTATTAGCAGGGCTAGATTTAATACTAGATTCCAGACGTGGGCATCTGCTTAAAAACAATGAAATTTTGTGCAGTGTCCACAAAACACACTTTTTTCTTACCATCCTATGTTGAGTAGTAATTAATTTATGTTAAATTAGGGTAGTTAATATTAAAACTTATTATTGGGTCTAAAATTGTCTGAATTGCGATACATTTTTTCCACCCGTTTCATTGGTTAAGTTCATGAATTTTCATTGTTCTCCATTACCTTCCATGACATTACAAGTTAGTTATTATTTTTTTCTAGAACCTTTATCTTTCCAACGGAAGAGCTTTATACATCTATCTCTTATTTCCGGATTTTTTTTTTTTGTGCCTATAAAAATACTCCTTCATTTAAATATCAAATTCTTTCATAGTTCATATTTATCCAATGGTTTTTCTGTGGCTGTGTTCTCATCTTGATCTATTGAATGTTGATGTCTTTATTTTTTTTTTTCTATTAAAAATTCATAATAACACTCAGGATGCCCAATACTCTTAACACTTTCTAATATCTTATGGAGCTTCTTCATCAGTATAGAGAATCTTGATTTTAATCTGTTATTTGTATTATGTGTTATTAATTTTATTTTGTATTCTTAGCTTTAAATATCAATCTCTTATTCAATTTTACAGTTATCTAGCTATAGTGTTTTTGGGTCTTAGGTTTGACTACACATAACTGCAGATGAACTAGAAGATAAAAGAGTTAATGAAAACAAGAGAATGGAGCTGTACTAAAGTTTCTTCTTCACCAAAATTTGACTTTAAAAGTTTAAGCATAGATAGCATAGATGAATATATATTTATGGGTGTGTGTATAGCATAATTTTATGATTAGATGTTAAATGTACAAAATAAAAAAACAGTAAATTGCATATATATTTTTATTTTTTATTAATGCTCCTCTTATCCTGAATCTTGTTTTCCTTATATATGTATATATACTTTGTTAGTTATATTATTTTGTTCAAATTATACAATTGTTAAAGTGTTTTCAATTTTCTTTGGCGAATTAATACGTATTGTGTTCTGCTTCCATTTATTGATATTTTCCTTCTAGTTTTTTGGCAGTTTAGGATATTTGTCTTGAGTTATATTCCATGTTTTCTATGCCATCTCACCAATCTTGCATAGTGGACAACCAAGTTTTTTTTTAAATATTTGTTTTGATCTATTATGACAGGCTCTGTTGGCTGTAATAGTTTTAGATTATTTAAGTGGTCATTAATATTGCTAGATTCCTGTTTTAAATCACACCTAAAACCAGAGTTGATTATTGTCTCTGATTTGGTACCAGGATACTATGTATTTATTTTGATAATCTGTTATTCTTCTTTTCCAATTTTCTTAATGAAATAGCTTTTATTTATTATGTTTCAGTGAATCAAAAAAGTGGTGGCCCAACTCCAAAGGAACTTTTACGTTTGTTGGATCAATGTGACCTGTGTAATAGCCATTGTTCAACACCTTGTATTTCACCATGCCCTTCATTACTCGGTCATGCCTCAAGAATTAAGGCTTCAAATGTTGCATTTTTGAATCAGCAACAACAGCAGCAAGAAAATACAAATTAAATACAATTTTAACATTTTATGACATTTTCTCATATTCCAAATATTGATTTTTTGTATTGGGTTGTCTAAAAATAATTTAAGGTTTAGGTTCTGGAACTTCTAAACTAGTAAAACCAAAAACATAAATTTTAAATAATGTTTAAGCAATCAAAATAGGCTTTATTGATTTTCCACATAGGTACTAGAAAAATTTCAATTCCGTCTTAAGAAAATTAATTACTGTTCAATTTTCTAATAAAATATTTTACAAAGTTTTTTTTTCTTCCGATTGGTAATCCTGGTGTTTAAATCAGTTGCACTTGGTAGGTGAGAGTGATAAAGATTAGGGTGGATAGTACATTCTTATATCCTAGGTCTCTTGTTTTTTACAAATATTTATACATAGTATTTTGAAAGATCATTTGATTCATGAAAAGACCATTTTCCTGGAATTTTCACTTTGCAAATTATTGCTGGTTAGTTGGTCCTTCACTGTAAATTTATTGATAGAAAGCTTCTCTGAAAATTATTTAAGAGTAATTCTTTATTTTTCTTTTCCAACGACGATCAAAGACAATCATCATTTTCCAATAACCTTCTTGTGTTTATGGCTGACTCACCCTCATCATATTTTCGAATTGTCTTTAAATTGTTCGATCATTTAACTTGTTATTTCCTTAGATTTCATAATTGTTTCTTGTTGTTTTGGGCTTGCAATAGGTGAATTAAAATTAAATACTCCTGAACATCTCAACAAAAATTAAATATTTACAAGTTACAAAAACTTCCATATTTAATTGAAATTATAGTTGTTTGAAATGGAATGGTTAATATTTACCCTTATATATATACATACATATGCATATAAATAATTCAAAAATAGTAAACAGTGTATATTAAAACATTGATAACCTGAAACCCAGCCCTACATTATTTTCTGAACAACCCTATACTTACACTTAATACTAATTAGTGTTTCTGTATACATTTTTTATTACTTTTGTTTCTGCTCATTTAATGTATTTTAGTTGAAATTTTTGATTCAGGATGTACGTCATTTTAAAATATTGTTCATTAAAAAATAAAGTTGTATGTTATAAATATGTATTTACATATAAATATACGTTATTAATTTTTTTATTCTTTCTTTTCTTTACTTCCACTTGACTACCTATATTTAGATTATAAATTGTTTCTTAATCCATAAATTCATTCAACATTTTATGTTTTTAATTTTCCATAAGAGGTACTTATTAAGATACACTTCCTCCTGTGCATTTATTGGTGGCAAAAATAGTTAGTACTCCATTACTTAGCTGTATTAAAGAAATCTATTGTATAAATTATTTCAATGGGGTAACATTTTATTTAGTTGGTATGATAATGTTGATGAGTAGCCTAAACCAAATAAATCACAAGGAAGTGGAACTGAAACATAAAAAAAAAAAAACTGAAACATAAAAAAATACAGGCAATGGACTAATCAAATCAGTTATGTATGAATAAAAATGGAGAAAACACATATTGTCTGTAATAATTTTGTAAAACTAAACACATTTGCTATTTATTATTTACCTACAATATATATTTTTACTTTTCTACAGCTAGTAAGTAGTTTAGAAAAACATTGCAGTCAGATCAAATTATCTATGTATTTCTGAATATTTTTAGACCAAAAAAGAGTTTTCGATCATTGGTCTGTGCCACATCTATCTCTTGGGTGAAGGCTCCTACATCCCTAGATTGGTCCCTAACACTAAGACCTAATAACCTTTATTTTTTTTATGAATATTGATATTCCATTTATACCAGTCTATTTTCACCTTGTTTTAATAAATATTCGTGACAGCTTGGCCATTTCGGTTCATTGTCTGAATCAGTATTGGATTTCTAGTTATTTCAGCAGTTACGAATTAATATGGTGTACATAAATATTTTAACAAGTTTTAAATCCCTGTCAGCAAATTACATTTTCATCCAATAGATTTTTTTTTCAGACTGTAAAGTTCTAAGTGTGCAAAAAGGCTCTTAAGGTAAGGAGTTTAAATATTGATGTATGTTGTATTGATATTTTTCAAATATATGTAAATAGTGATTCATTATGTTGAAATAATATATCGATCATTGATATTTTTAATCTTTGAAAAGAGTTGGGATGTATGATAAATTTTGAAATTATAATGAGGCAGTCATTCAATGGAGGAAATATTCTGTTCTAACATTCTATCAAAACCTAGAATGTTTTAATTAAACGATGAAACCAAGCAGCCACTTGGTTCTTATAGGGGGAGTATCTTTTAATAAATTGCTTGCCTTGCCTTAAACCTATGAATTTCCTGACTCCTTGTTTGTTTCTGTCAATGCCATTAGAAACTTCTTTGAGATGCTTAATGCAATTTCTGCTCCTCTAAGGGGGATTTCAGCATCTTTTCTTGCAAGCTTGTTTGTGTGCTTTCTCATTGCCAGTAACTTCTATGTGGCCTGGTAACTATATCAAATGTAATTTCTTAGAACTGGCAAGAGTCTCCAAAGCCTACCTGTACTCACTCACTAGAGTGGAGGTCACTTTTAATGGATTTTAAGGCTAAAAGAGCTGAATGAAGATTATCAGAATTGATTGTGGTGATGGCTTTAGACAACCATTTAAACTGGTTGAGTATTTTCTTGAACCATCAGTGAAACAGGGTAGATAGCCTTTTGGAGAATATTTTAAACCTTTCTTTCAGTCCCCCGATTTTGGGTATTGATATTTAACTTTAGTGTCTAAAATTTAAGTTCTATTAAAAGGTGGGGAATGATATTGTAAGACAGGCAGTTCTTTTCCAACCATCCTGGCCATTACTGAGTGTCCAGCAATTTCCCCTTTTCCTTGCCACGTTATATATGTTATACATTATTGCCAGGTTATACTTCTATCTGGAGGCTGGAGAGATTCCAGCCTTTTATAATAAAGATTCCAGTCGGTGTTCCTTAGTTTTTATGTCAATAATGGAAGGCTCTTCACAGCTTCCAGCTTGAAAAATATCATCCTGTGATCAGACAAAGTTATATCTGAAGTGATCTTCCAATCTTTACATAGACTTGTAATACTGCTTGGAACAAAATTAATATCCAATATCTCGCTTCTAGTTCTAGTGACTAGACTACTGACCAGAAAATCTCAACTTTCAATTGACAACAAATTACTGATCTACAAGACAATCCTGAAACCCATTTGGACCTATGGACTTGAACTTTAGGGGAAAGCAAAATTCTCTAACATCAAACGCATCCAATCCTTTCAATCTAAAGTCCTCCGAACAATAGTCGATTCTCCGTTCTATGTAACCAACAAAACCCTACATCATGACCTTAATATCCCATTTGTCCTTGACCTTATCCCTGAAAATTTTTCAAAATTCCATCAGAACCTTATCAATCATCCAAATCCCCTAGCCCAATCCCTATCTAGTTCCACTCATCCCTACAATCCTCCTCGAAGGTTGAAGCGGCAGTGGCCCAGAGATCTTTTATAGTATTTATTTTGGAGTTCTGGCAATGGCCAGATTCTCCACTCAAGACATGAGTGTATGTGGCTAAGCTCTCTCGCTCAAACTCCACCGGCTTTTACACCGGTGAGGCGGTTGAGAGAGTAGCGCAGGGATTTGGGTTCCCCGCCTGATTGTATATATTGTATATAGGTATGACTGTATTTTTATGTTTTTAATTTACTTATATTTAGGTTATTTTATTTTTTTTATTGTATATAGTTTTTATTTATTATTATTTAGTTATTATTTTACTTTTGTTTCTTTTTTGTATATACGGTGTGTTCATATATACGATGTGTTCATTTATCAATATAATTATTGTTCCTGTGACAGAATATTATATATCTAAATAAATAAATTTAAAAAAAAAAAAGTTCTAGTGACTACCTTTGTCAGTGCCTTAGGGGTGGGAAATGGTCCGGGGGCGTCTACTTGGACGAGCCGCCTGCCACTTGTTAAGGATAAAAAAAATCCAAGTTTATGTGAATAATTAATTTTAGTCTATTAATAAAGCAATTGAGTTAGAGACATATTAAATGAAATATTACTTAATATAAAACAGCGTAAGAAACAAAATTTATTTTTTGGAATCAGATGACATCATTGATCGGGGACACCAAATGTCTTAAGTTCGATACTGAGTAGCTTCACCACCTCTGTTCAGAATTTCTTGCTCTGTATATACCCTAACTAAGCCTCACTACGCTCATTGGTGCCTTAACTTTCCTTAATGGGCTGATGGACATTAATATCTCCGCCTACGAAGAGAGGCAAATCTACTTCTCGAGCGAAGAGATTGAGTTTATTTAGTGATCGATAAGAAGGATCTTAATTATGAGGAAATTAAATAGATCAAATTATCAATTTAGTTTTATTAATATTAATATTAATCAATAAACTCATTGCTGCAATATCTCTCGTAGTGATCTGAGGAAGAGGCGTAATCAAGAAGTTCTTCCATGACCAGAAACATGCAATCCGGTTGTCATACGAGTATATAGGGAATCGGACGATTCGACCATCTGTTCCCTCTCCCCAGTCTTTAATCTTTCTCTTGAAACAGTGAGGTTCTTGAATTAGAACGAGGGTGGATTTGCCCCCTCCCCGATAAATATTTAGCTAATTCAGCCATAGCCGACTTATTATTTAAAATATTAATTAGGGTCACCATTATATTGAATATTATTAAGGCCAATACTATTTTAGTGGAACCAGGAGCATCGCCAGACCGCCTGACCACAAACCTACGGTCTGTGGGAGCTACATAATCCACTAGCCAGATCCTGGTCTCCACGATGAAACAGTAAATGAGAAAACAACCAGGATGCGTCTGGTGTTTAGAGTTCTCGAAAATTAGCGGTTACCTACAAGGGCGTGGTCCCTTTCTACCTCAGCAACAAGAAGTTTCCTCATTAGCTGGGCATTTTCTGGGGTAATTATACTCCGACCTCACTTTCCACGATGAACACTTGGAGGATTCTTGATACCGCGGCGTCCCTGTAGAACTAAGGTTTCCCCTGATCCCCTGGAATATCCTGCTGAGAAGAAGGTCCAGCAACAGAGCCACTAGTCTTCCTAGGAGAATTCCCACAACGTTTTTTACCTTGCCGATGAGTGTCAGTTGGTGTTGACTCTTCCATCGGCTTTTGTCTCTTCGTATAAGAATGAAGGAGAGTACCAAGAGGAAGGGAGTGGTTAGGTCCACAATAGCGAGGAACGACCTGTGGACTTTTTAAAAACAGAGTGTTGCCTGTGAGTAGCCGGATCAGAGATAAGAGTTTGACGTCTCATTCTGATGGCCTTCCATTCAGCTTGCCTCTGCCTGCCTTTTCTTCCTTCTATACAGGTTTTCCTTTTGTTTATTCTATTCAGTAGGCGAGACAACTCGATATTGAGTCTTGGCCTCCTGTACCAGCCTCCAACAATTGTTCCTATCCTGTGCAACCGCCATTCAGCTCCTCACTCCCAACATGGACCTGGCATCACCAGCCACACCGTTACTCCACCAAAGCCGACGCCTTTCTCTACGCCTTGTTCCGTGCATTACTTCTGTCATGATTTTTTTCGGAATGTGATTGTTAGCCATTCGAGCGCCCAGCCCATCTCAATCTATAGAGCTTCATGAAATGAACCACGTCTGGTTCTTTAAACAAATCTCCTAAGCCTCTGGTTTGTCTGATGTCTCCATAACTGGTCAACTTTCACAGCTCCAAAGATCTTACGCAAAATCGTCCAGTCAAGGACCATTAGATTCTGCTCGTCAGTTTTGGAGATAGTCCATTTTTCTCAGCCATAAAGGAGTATCGGTCGGATAATTGTTTTATACAATAGGATTTTTGTTGCTCTAGTTAAGGAACAGCTCCTAAAATATGAACTGAGGCCATAATAACAACGATTGGCACATAGCACTCTTCGCTTAATTTCAGAATCTACAACATTATCATGAGTTATGAGGGATTCGAGATAAATAAATTCCAAAACTTTTTCAATGGATAATTCTCCGATGGTAATACTTTTGCCCGGTCTGGGATTTCCCTCAGTGGCCATATATTTGGTTTTTGCAGCGTTAACTTTAAGGCCCATTTTTCTTGCCGCTTCCACTCGTTTCTAAAGTCCATCAAAGACGGCCTGGAAAGAGCGCCCAGCAATGTTGATATCATCTGCATAAGCAAGAAGTTGCACTGTCCGGCTGAATTCTGTTCTGCCCACTTGAATACCAGAATCCCTAAAGCTAAATCAAAGAGGAGATGTGCCAGTGCATCTCCCTGCCTTAGTCCTTTTCTAGAAGTGAATTCTGACGATCTTCGTTCTCCAACTTGCACCATGCATCTCATTTCTCTCATGGTGAGTCTTACCATTCTAATAAGCTTTTCAGGGATTCCGAGCTCTCTCATTGCCTCATAAAGCTGTTCCCTATGAACACTATCATACGCTTCTTTAAAATCAAAAAGATGATGTGTTTTAAGCTTATATTCACGTCCTGTTTCAAGCATGATACGCAAGCAAAATATCTGGTCAATGGTAGATCGTACTTTCTGAAAACCACACTAGTACAGGCCTAAGATCTGTTCTGCATAGGCACTAGCGGATCCAGGATTTCATTTTGGGGGGGAGGCTTCAGCCCGAAAGGTTTTTTTTTTTTTTTTTCATATACCTATATATATATATATATATATATATATATATATATATATATATATATATATGTGTGTGTGTGTATCAAGTGTATCCGTTATATATACTATCTACATACATGAAATGGTGTCTATGTGAGTTTTGATGTCCTATTAAATGTAATTACACGAACAGTAATACTTTAAGAGACATTTTTTAAATATTTTTTACAATACAACATGGTTACATTTTACCATATTGGGGGGGGGCTTCAGCCCGAAAGCTCCCCCCCCCCCGTAGATCCGCCTGTGTGAGTAGGGGAGTAGTCGTTGAAAAAGAAAGTTGGACAACACTTTGTACGCACAAGATAGTAAGAAGACGCCTCTATAATTACCGCAGACTAGCCGATCAGCCTTTGTCTCTTCATATAAGAATGAAGGAGAGTACCAAGGGGAAGGGAGTAGCCCTTGAACTGGAAGCCCAGTCCCGTCGATATCGAGAGGGGGTGTGAGGAGGATCAGCCTCCTCCCTCTCAAATTGGTTCCAGGATGCTCCTGGGTGCGCCCCCTCCCCCTCAGCCACACTAGCGGGGAACGACCTGTCGACTTTTTAAAAACAGAGTGGTGCCTGTGGGTAGCCGGGTCAGAGATGGGAGTTTGTCGTCTCGTTCTCATGGCCTCCCATTCAGCTTGCCTCTGTCCGCCTTTTCTTCCTTCTATTCAGTTTTTCCTTTTGTTTATCTTTGTTAATTGACGCCATCTTTGCCTTTTATTTCTCTTTTTTTGTCCTGGGTCGGATTCTGTCAATGAAGTTCTTTGTGATCATTCTGATATACTGCTGACATTCAACTGCGGTGTTACCTTAGCATCTGGCAATGTTCTAAGGTTATAATGAGGAAAGCCTCTTTACTCCTCTTACCTCTCCGATTATTTGCGACGACGCCTCATTCTGCTCTGTAATTACTGCAGTTACTAGTTTCGTTTCTTTATTTTACTACAACTCCCCTTTCTCTCTTCTGTGTCTCCTTTATTTTCTCTAAGTGAGACGTCATGTACTGGCGTTATATCGAATACTATCATCTTGGAGCCTTACACCGTTCTTTTCCTTATGTCTTCCGCTTTTCCTATTACTATGCTTTCCACCTCCTTGAGTTATTGCATAAGGGCCTTTATGACGCCAACCTTTTTTTTTTTTTTTATCATCATTAACTCCTCCATCATCGTCAGATTCATATAACCTACATCCAGAATCACGTTTTCCTGTCTGGGACCCTTCGATGACCTTAGTCCTTTCCTCCGACCTGGACATTCCACTGGCCTTAATCTCACCTGCCTTACTTAACCAGTATCACTATCGCGTCATTGGAAAAAATACTTTAACTATGAACTCGGTATCTCTCGGCTCTCATCTATCTAATCAGTTCTTTACATAGAACACAAGGTTCTTTACATATTATCAACCACTATATCAAGGATTTAGTCACCCTCTGTGGACATATATTCGATGTTTTAGTACAACCTATGTAGAGTCTCTATCTTCACATGGCCGCCATTTTATATTCCAGAGGTTACATGCTGGCAGAGGTGCATTTTTCTCATTAGGCTTGTGGATATGATCAATTTATAAGGACAAACCTTAGTATGAAATATGACACCTGTTTTGCCACGGGCTCCCGGACCACTCCGGCCCTTGTTTCTTGACGTTTTAAGATTATTATTTAGCTTTTTTCATGAAATCAATAACGTGCAATAACTTATTAATAAATTAAAAAAGTGAGATAGTGGTTCATTTGCTATTTTGTTTATTCTCAAGCAATTAAATGTAATTTATCAAGTTGGTGTTATAGGTAAGATTTCTTTTCCATAAATGTGAAATACCATATTTTGTTTACTATTTTAAATAAATAAAAAATGATGGAACTATTTATAAAAAAATATATATATATATAGATATGGGAATATAGTTGACTGTTGAAATTGTAAGGATAAAATATGGTCAGGATTTGTAGTCAAAAAATCAATTTTATTGAGTTTGCTTAATAATCTTATTTTAATATAATTAATATACAACTCAATAAACTTAATTTTTGACTGCATATCCTGAACATCTTTCAATCTTATTAGAATGAAAGTTTCTAATCCAAAATTGAATAAGCGTTGTTTATCTTTTTTTTTTTTTTTTTTTTTTTTTTATTTATTATTTATTATTTTTTTTATTACGATTTTTTGGAAATGTGACAATCATATGCAGGGGTCTCCAAACGTTTTGGCCTGTGGGCCACATTGAGGCCTCCACTAAGTCCCGCGGGCCTCACCGAGACCTCCATCTTAGTCCCATGGGTCATGGCTTGAGATGAAAAAAAAAATTGTTCTATAAATGACACTTTACTGGTGAAATGAGCTTTATAATAAAAACAAAACGTGCAATAACCTCTGGTGTGAGTGATTTGCTAAATTTCACATCTTTTAATAGTTTTTAAAATTATTCCATGTGATAAAAGAACCTTTCGCGGGACGGATGGTCATGAGCAATCCTATTGTGTATTTTTGTTTCTATTTTTTTTATTTTTTTATGTTCATTGCTGTAATATTCTTGGGGTATTAAAATTGTTAGTCTTACAAATACACGTTTTTGAAAAATAAAAATCATTAATGGATCTTCTTCAATTTATAAATTTTCTTCTCTAAGTAATAAATTAGAAATATTTTTTACATTATTCGTTTGTTTATTATATTTAATACTAAGTGGTCCAACTTCCAATAATCACATCATCATGAGGACTCCTTTAGAAAATTCACAAACTATGGGACAAACAAATATATAAATGGTTATTTAAATCTGCTAGTAACAGGGATGCTCGCTCCCTCCTCTAGGTCAACAGCGCATGCCTCTCCCACCCAAGATATTTTATTGCTCTCTTTAAAAATGTTCTTCAAGAATGTCTTCCGCTTATTGACTGGTTTGAAACTTGTCATTTCGAAAATTCATAACCACATCGAAATGTGCTCCCCTCGAAAATTCAAAATCCCGTCAAAATTTGTCCCACTCAAAAATTTTGATGGCGCGATTTGCGCCTTGAAACCCCCTTCTGGGAACGTTTCATGCTAACTAGTATTTTTATTTCTTGTTTTTGATATTTTCCATCTGCTGTCGCTATCAAGGGAAATAAAATAAACAGTTTGATTTAGCAATAATGTTGCTATTAGTTAAATTGTATAATTTATTTACCATAGTTTGTGAAATATCTAAACGCACCTTGAAAATACAAGAAACATTAACAAAAAGAGACGAATAATTAAAAGAAATACTCGTTATATTATTATTATGATGTAGTTATATTATTATTATATCCCTATATTATTATAATATCGTTATACTATTAAAAGAAATATTCGTGAGATCTATTAACAAAATCACAAATTTTGCTAGAATTTGGTTTTGTTATTTGCCTATTATTCTCTGTAAGCAGAGATGGGCAAATGCTAATCTGAGAACCGAGTACCAAGTATTTTACTCAAATTGGGAATTCAATTACTAATTCAGTTAATCGTTTGACATTAACTGAAGTAGTAATTAAATTCTTTGGTACTCAAAAAAGGTCAGTATTCGAGTAAAATACTTGGTACTCAGTACTCATAATAGCATTTGCCCATCTCTGACTGCAAGTGACTGAAATGAAGAATTTTAAAATAATCTTAATATCAATTTCTCTCTTTCCATTTCAAATCTAGCCTGTAATTTCATAACATTTTATTCTAGATTGCTAATCTTATTTATTTATCTCCTTGAAATCATTTTCAGTCTAACGCCATAAGCCTTGAGAGTATTCTCTCCTATAAATTAAGCAAGAGAATAAAAAAAAAAGAAAAGAGTACAATGATATTCAAATAAACTATCAGTGATAAGCTTCAAAGTTGGTAGGGTCGGTGGTCTAGTTCTTACGTCACGATTCAAGTCCCCCGTTGTCACTTCCCATTTTTGAGTGAGAGGACCTGGTAGTTTTATAGACCTTAGAGTGAGATTTATACGACGATTTCTTAAAGGACTTATCTTTCAGAATTTTCAGACGATTTTTCTTCCTAATCATTGATCTTTATTACCTAAATCCAACCATATCAATAATAAATTTGAATATTTCTTCTGGTCGATATACTGAATTATTAGAATACGTATTTACAGAATTAAAGGTTGATGTCATCTCTTAGCCTTTACTTAAGGGAAGTATGAGGGAGGCATTTATCTAACCATTGGGTGAATATCCTTTTTTCCTTGTTGGTTTATTCAAGACTAAACCTGACTCCTTTAACATTTTTATAAAATACTGTTATACAATGACCCGGTCAGTTAACATAATGGGATCCATTAAAATAATTTTACGATATTAGTAACTATCTTAATTATATTAATATTCATCTAGAGGCGTAAATAAATTAAATTTCCAAATTGTTTTAAGTTTTATTCAAGACTATTCTTTAATTGACCACGCCTTCTTTGGAATCTTATCTTGCAAACATTTTCAAGCAAGATACTCTATGTTGTGAATCTATATATAAGGACTCGTTCATTGATTTAAGTAGGAGTGTATTGAAAGAGATTCTACGTTTAGTTTATTCTTGCTAGTACTTTTAGGTAAGTATCAGAAGTAGTCTGCCAATATTGTTTTTAAATATTTGGAAGATTTGTACAAATGTGATGGGATGCCTGGAATATGTAATAATAAATTGAATTATTTAACATCCCTTACTAATCAATAATTGTTTTAAATTATGATAAATTATTTGATTATTGTACTATTACCTTTGAAATTTACTGTGTATATATGTTGTTTCTTTACTATATATTGTTGGATATCTTCATATTATTAATTAAACATTAGATTACCTGTAATGCCTAATGGAAAATAGGTATGCTTATCAAATAACACTTGTTTCAGTGTCTATTCATTGTTTTCTATTGTAATTATTTTGGATTGATTTATTGTTTTGATGTTTAAATGGTATCTGACTCCGCCCATAGAATCAACTAAGTTGTTTGATGTTTAATTGTTTTTATTACGAATATTAGATAAATCTTATTTATTCTTCCTCATTATTGTTGTTGTTTTGTCTGCTTAACATGGTAATATAATAACACTAATGATAAGGATTAATCATGATCCACCTCTTAGATTATTATTTTTGAGTTTAATGGTATGGTTTTTCATTATTTTGGTTAATCAATTTCCTGTTTAATAAATTAAATGATGTATTTAGGTGAACTGTAATATTTTTACCCACATTTTATTTCAAATTGGACATTACTGTATGGTTATCTAAATCGCTTGTCATATTTTATGGTTGTTAAGAATTTATTTCGTTTACTATTTCATTTTTCTCTGTATTTGTGTATGCTTATATATCTTTAAAAATATTATCTGGTTTATATTTTCGACGTATTGCTCACCCAAATTATATTAGACATTTGTCTAATGTCAATACCATTCACAAAACATTTGCCAGTAATTACATATAATTCAATATTATTTTCTGATCTTGGGAAGTATTGTAGATCACTGAGTGAGACACTGTGCTTCTATCCTCCCTTTTCCATTTTTAAATTTGGACAGGTAACTATTTATTCTATTTATATCAGCTGTAAATCAACAGGGATGTTGCGAGACCCTGCTGAAGCGCACCCATTAGTAAAGGGGGAAAACTTGTTGGTTGAATATTGTATTGGTCAAATAACCTCCTTGCACATCCATTGATCTAGAAACAGTACTTCTCCACAATGTATTGAACCTTTGTCCCTTCGTGGGTTGTTATAGTACAGAGTTTCTTTTGGTTTTTTTTTTTAATATAGGTCAACTTTGTGCCACATTAGTTACGAGTTGGGGAGCTGGAGTTCCAAAATACAAATATGTTAGTTAGGCACTAAGTCACATCAATCTGAATGTAGATGGAATCCTGAAGGATGTCGAATGTAGTAAAATATTGACCATCCTGTTCATATGTAATAACAGCTGTGTCCTCACTTCAACATGAGTATATGATGCTTATATTAGTGAATGTTATAATTATTAATACCTCAGTCAGACCACAAATGTCAGACTTGTGCTGACTCAAGATATTAATGCCCCTCCAAGGAGTTTAGTTCAATCAGAAGTTGAGGATTAACCAAGAATCCTTGTCTTTGAAGATTTATAACCATACAATATTTTCTAATTAACTGAAAAGGATCTCTTGAGGATTTAATTATTCTGTAAGCGAACGTAGAGAGTGGAAACCATACTTGTGAATCATGCAGCAAGTGTTATTTTTAACAACCACCTCATGATGGAAAGTGATCCATTTGATGTGCTGAATCACTTCATTTTTATATGCCCTCCAGATTTCAAATTCAAATGGAAAATAATTCAAAAACTATACCTATTAATAATCCAATAACCTCAGTCTCCTCCCAGTTACCCCAGATGATCTCAATGAACATTTAATATCTTATTATCCTAGACCTTCATATACTACTTTGTTTTAGTTTAAACGCTTAAAGGTTACTTTACTATAATTTATTACAATTCCACTTTTTTTTTTTTTTTAAGTTTTATTAATTGTTTTTGTAATTTTTTCATTCTCTTGTTCTTATTTATTTTACTGTAAGCAAAAAGCCCACTTACTATTTTCTGTAATGTTTTCTTATGGGATAAATAAATCTATTAATTTTATTATTATTATTTTGTACTTCTCACCAAAGAACCCTGTCATTAGGCCATACCTAACATAATCCTATCTGTGTCACACTCTATCTCTTGGATGATTACTATATGAGTCTAATTGCCATTTTTCTGATACTTTCTTTATATAGACCAATAACTTAACTTACCTATTTCAGTCTCCTTTATGTTAGTACTTTTTCTACTATTCTAAAGTGTGTATAGCTGTTTTAAGTTCTTCTTTCGACTAACCTTTTTTTGTGCCAAATATTCTATACCATGCCCTTTTCTTTTTTTTTTTTGTTGCTTGGAGTATTACTTTTCCCTTAATGTAACTGTGCATGTTTTACATCTTTTATGAATAGTTGTGGTTGTAGCATGTAAATTATTACTTTCAGGTTCCTAAACTGCACGTGAATTACATTATTTAAATAACTAATGTTTCTGTCTTTAAATTTTCCTCTTGAATTTCTTTAAGATATTGTAGAGCCTAATTAATTTTTTAGTATATTTAAAGTGTTTCTTCTATTTTCAACAAAATCATCAGCGATTTCTCTGCTTATCATAAATTTCTTTTATTTATATTTATTTTTAAACCTAATTCTGCACAGTCATCCTCCAACATCGATATATCTAACATAATAGTTCACGTATTTCCCGAACAAAACCAAATCGTTGCCACAGCTTAGAACTGGTATATTGCTGTCCGAAGTTAAATATATTTCCATGTGCATATCCAGGAGTGACAGCTACCTGCTCTCTTTTAACATGGAAGAATTTAAATAAGTAGCAACAAATATAAATTTTGAATTTTTGAAAAAATTATTAATAGCAGGAGGTTAGCTGTTCGTATTTCAAAATATTGAAATGAAATAATTATAAAATAAATCTTAAATCTATTCCCCCTTTTATTTGAGCTACTTTCCCCTCATTACCTTTCTTATAACATATTGCAGTGTTGCAATGCCAACTAATCGTTATAATTGGTAACAAGCTACTAAAATGTTCTTATAATTTAAAATTTTAATGATTAAAATATGTAATGTATTGTTAACCTTATTACACTTTTTTTTTCTTTCTGTTATAAATTATACCTCCCCCATTCCCCTTGTTTTCATTTTCTATGTATACAGGTTGTTCCGTAAGTAGAGGGAAGTATTTAAGGGGTTGATAGTAGACATCGAGATCTTCAAAAATATTCATGTAAACAATTGCCCTATTTTCAGTAGAAAAGTAGGAAATTTAAGATTTGTTTTTTTTAAGCGGGTCACGTTTTTGTTGAACAGGAAGCGATAACAAAGAAAATATTTGATTTAAGTAATTAAACATTGCTCCATAGTAAACGAGATAAAATTTACTTTAAACTAAAGTAGAATTTGTCATTGTTAAAACGATTTAAAGAGGTCTATTGAGCAAACAAACATAGCTAAGTTCCATTTAAAAAAAGTCACAAATTATTTGTGATTTTTTTTATTAACCTTTTACTGTACTGCAGTTATCGCAGTTTTAGAAAAACTTTCTCGTTTAATAATCTTTAAGCCTATATTAATTAATTTTAAGTTTATTAGGAAAAATTTACCAGTGTTTAGTAAAAGTACCAGTGTTTTCTGCAATAATTACTACAATTTACAGTTTGAATACTTTTATTTCTTGTTTTTCTATGATATGGGGTGCGTTGTAATAAAAATAATTGCCTAAAAAATGAAAATAAAAAATTTCAAAATAACGGTTTTCACTTAGATGTGTATTGACGCATATTTAAAAGCGACAAAAAAATATAATTTTTTTACCTAATATTTACGTTTTCATGAAAATAATTTCAGTAAATGGTTTCTTTATTTTAATCGTAAACTATAGTAATAAACATTAAGTTTGTCACTGATAAATACATTCTCAATTCCTATGGCGGATATCTGAGAGAATACGTATTTTTTTTTACCCACTTTATGTGAAAAATCATTTTTTAATTATTTATCGTTATAAATTAAATTCATTTTTAGTTAATTATTTTTATTACAATACATCCCATATTACAGAAAAACAAGAAATAAAAGCTTTGCAACAGTAAATTGTAGTAATTTTTGCAGAAAACACTGGTAGGTTTTAGGTGACAAGATAGATAATTATATTTTTTATACAACTTACAAGTAAATTTTTCCTTATAAACTTCAAATTAATTAATATAGACTTAAAGATTATTAAACGAGGAAGTTTTTCTAAAAGTGGTGTAACTGTAGTACAGTAAAAGGGTAATATAAAAAAATCACAAATAATTTATAACTTTTTTTAAACGGAACTTAGCTGTATTTGTCCGCTCAATACTCCTCGTTATAACAGTGACAAACTCTACTTTAATTTAAATTTAAATTTTGTCTTGTTTTCTATGGAGCAATGTTTAATTACTTAAAACAAATATTTTCTTTGTTATCGCTTCCTATTCAACAAAAAACGTGACTCGCCTAAACTAACACAAATCTTAAATTTCCTACTTTTCCTGTTGAAAATAGGGCATTTGTTTATAAGAACTTTTTTGTAGATCTTGATTTCTACTACCAACCTTTTAAATATTTCTCTCTACTTACGGGCACCCGTATATGTGTATTTGAACTTGATAAAAAAAAAATGTAGAAAAATTTTGGATATCTGATTTTTTATCACAATACTAGAGTTTTCAGTCTAAGATTTTGATATGTATTATGTAAGAAAGAAAAAACTCGACAAGAAACATCAATTTATTGGTGGGGTATACGTAGTTTCAAACGCAGTGGTAATCACTGCTATGTATAGTATTACATTTTCATAGTTTACGAGTTAGATTTTTTTCGTATATTTTTGTCAAATATTGAATTATAACAGATTATTGGTCGTATGGACATTAATTATTTAGAGACGTGTTTGATTTTTTTTTCCAATTTAGATTATCTTTTTTTTAATATGCATG